ACTACTACCTCGGCTACAACAACTTCAACGTCAACTACTACCTCGACTACAACAACTTCAACGTCAACTACTACCTCGACTACGGCAACTTCCACGTCAACGACTACCTCGGCTACAACAATTTCTACGTCAACTACTACCTCAACTACAACAACTTTAACGTCCGCTACTACCACGACTACAACAACTTCTACGTCAACAACTACCACGTCGCTATCGCAAGTCCTCACTAGTCAATCGTTTAATGATCTTCCTCTCGTACTTGGATTAGGTCTAGGCCTTGGTCTTTCACTACTGCTCGCCCTAAGCATATTGATTATTTGTCTTTGTTGTCGATGCTGTCCAGGAATGTTCTGGTACGTAGGAACATGTTATATTTTTGTTGATGCATTGAACTCATTTTGTTTTCTTAGTGGAGCATTGCGTCGAAGGTTTTGGAGAGACAAGCATGCTTACTGCGAAGTATGTGGAAAACAATGTCATGGTCATTCCTCTACTAACAACAGTAAAATTTCTAATGAGAAGGATCTAAGAAACTATCGGCAACAGTACATTAATGATAGTTCGCAGACATTGCCGACAGACTCATTGCGTGAACATTCATTTTTGTCTTCTTCATCTTCGCCTTTTGATATTTCGCCTCTAACAATGACACAGACTACATTCATGTCGCAACTCTCAATTAAAGTGATACCAAGCGAGGATGTTTCAACTCAAATGAATCATCCTGCAGAATTATCTCTCCTTGAACCTGGCGGATCGATACTTGTTCGAGCTTATGTGGCACAGGAACAAGCAAAAGAGAACTTTTTCGATTGATTCACATTTTTGATAGAATACTGAACTGAGCTGGGTTTTCCATATCATAGTTGTATCTGATGTAACTTTTACAGTGAAACATTTCTTTTTATTCATAAACACAAGTAATACTATTTGTGTGCTTGCTATCGAACATTATTCTCGAAAATTAAATACATTTTGTCATAAAATACAGAAGCAAAGGGTATAACTATAGGCATAGATGTGAGTACAGATGTAGTTGTTTCTGCGAGCCTTGTTTTCACCCACACTCACGTCCACAATCAACACTTGAACTACTTGCCAGCCAATTTTGCTTGATGATATGAATTGTTAATGAGTAACAAATCAATTTTGGGGTGTGGGTATGCATGAATGTCGCTCAAAAAAGATAAACAATCATACTCCACACCCACACTCTCGTATATGCTAAGTAATAATCGAAGTTCATTCAATAATATTTTATCTAGTTAATTAGAATGACGTTCTTTACAACAATAAAAGTAGTGAACATTGTTAAATCTTTTAGTCTATCAACTGTCATGATTAGTTCTGAAAAATCTACACTTACGTAGACATGAGTACTTTCATGACTTGATCTTTCGGCCGGAAGATAAGGTCTTTAAGTTGAAACAGAACGTCAACGATGAATTAGTTCATCATGAATCGATAATCATCCTCAATATCATTTACAATAATTCTTTCTGATTTGGTGTATGTTCGGTATCATTGTACCACTTATAACTCAAATATTTATTAAAATTTTTCAAAATTTCTTTCATGAATAGATGGCCAAGAAACGTAAACTATTTAATCATGAAGTTCAAAATCATTTATTTACTATTTCGTTAAAATATTAAAGAGGAGATATAGGCATAGAAAAACCTCATTCTGGTCAAGAGAAAATGCACTCTATCTTTCTATTCTCTACTATTCTTGATGAATATTCTTTTTCTCATAGTTTGTCCAACTACCGATAATCCGAACTTCAGTGAAGAATTAGTTGGCAATCTAGAATCCTCAAACAAAGCTTTTTACACATATATAAACGAGTAAACTGCTGTTTTTCTTATCACTATTTCCTACGTATCGAAATCCCGTAAATTTAGTCACCATCAAAGAATTTTCGGAAAAATACTACAATATAAAAGAATACTTTAGCTAAGCTGCTCTTCTTCTTCACTCATTTTGATCAACTTTCTGCGAAAAATAATAAAAAGACTATTTAACTTTGATGTATTTCATAAATAGATGCATCAACACACATACTGTTGATGAATGTTGAAATATATATATACATATCACTTCAGTTAAAAATTTTTATCAAGCTCCAATAAGTTTGCTTTTTTCATCAAAAATTTTATTTTAGATATATCATAGGATTATATATGTATTCTGTTTCTTATATTTACAAATTTGATTAATCCATTTCATATTTTCATTATGGTCAATCGAAAGACTTAAATTCATTTAAACAACAGTTTTAGTTCGAAAAAACACTTGATGCGATAATTAGAGATCATCTCTTGAAAGTACGACTAGGTAGGGATTATTTTCTTGCATAATATCTTTTAAGCAAAAAATGCTAGTTCTGACCTATGAAGACAATATAGCATATTGTGTTCCAACAACTTTATCAAGTAAGTCTTTTTGTTGCATCATAGTCTCATACACTGAGCTTTTATTTAAAAGAGAAAACTGCAAAAACACTTCTACAACGATTCGTTTTATTTTACTTCAATTTCTTGAACCATGCTAATCTTAAAAACCATTCAGATCTTTAATAGTCGTTTTATATGCATTTGTTTTGATATATATGTTCATATGAAAAAGAAATGTAAAGGTATGATGTTTAGTAAGCATGAGGCTTACGAGATTGATCAATCTCGTCTAAACTATGTGTCATCAAATTTATCGATCAATAAGAAACGAATTATCTTCGAGCACGATGTTCATATCGTATGTTTTCGAAATATAATTTTTTATACTTTTCTTTCTTTTCTCTATGAAATTAGATAAAATAAGCTTTGAAACATGTTAAGTTTATTTTATTGATGAATCGTTGCATTCTGATAATCAATCATCATTTCAACTTCAAAGAAACTAAATGTTTTTTTTTATCATTTCAGTTTGATAAGTTTTGTAACGACAATAGAAACATTTATTGTAATTTGATTACTAAATCATGAGAATATATAAAAATACAATTAAATAAACAAAATAATATAGGAATGATGATCATATTCATCTTGATCAATGGAATTAAATTAGTTTTATTAGATTTTTACAAAAATGTTACATCTATATAAATCACATATCATCAGCAATTTTTTCATCCAGTACCATTACTTTTGTTTTCATATCATCAAGTGAATAATTTTCAGGCTCTTCATTATTTTCATCAAAACTAAAAATATAGATAACATCATTAATTATGATCACAATTATTAATGATTCAATACCTTTCTGTATCATGATCTTCGCCAAATTCAAGTGCTCGTGATGCATAAGCCGCTAAATGAGCATAATGCACAGGAGCTGATATCGACACGGATTTAGTACAACGCATATCCGTATGACAAAGCTAAAATAAGTTTCATCTTTATCTATAAAGCTTTTTTCTTTGAAAATATTATATTTGTGCTCAGTTTTAAACGATTCGAAACAGAAAATTTCGATGTATGATGTTCATTGTTGAAATAGATTAGTCCGTTTATGATTTAGAATTCATATTCGGCAATGAATTAATGTATCATTAATAGGGGGTGTAACGATTCGTAACGAGAAATTTACAGGGCTTTCGTATTACGAAAGCCCTGTCATCGTTTTTACTACAGGGCTTTCGTAACGAATTTTGACAGGGCTTTCGTAACAAATTCTGACAAGGCTTTCGTATCAAATTTTGACAGGGCTTTTGTATCAGACTTATACAGGGCTTTCGTATCGTTTTTGACAGGGCTTTCGTAATCAAGTTCTTATTGCATTCATAACCAAAATGAAAGACTGGCATTAAAAAGAACAGGGCATTCGTTACAAATACCCATGCTTACAAATATAGCTTAAGTCATTAAGTGGGATCCATTCGTAACAAGTTTTATATACCTAAATGGTGCAAATACATGGTACTATACTGCCCTAGAGAATATACTGAGTTAAGGGTACCCAAAAAAGTACCCTGATACCAGTATGTCACAGGAACTTTTGGGTACCAAAGTACTTGCAGGTACTTACAGGTACTTAAGTGGTACTTTGGCAAGTACCCTGCTGGAAAATGCACAGTAATTGGGTACCTAAAGGTACTGATCAAGGACTGAATTGGGTACCATTGTATGGTATTTCTAAGTACCCTGTTACCAAATTTTCAGTATGTGCAGGATCGAACCTGATCTTTGACTTTTTAAAATTTTTTCTTTTTCTTGAGATAATTTACTAGATTTTTTTTTTACTTTATTCAATTTAATTTTTTCAATTCCAAAAACTTAGCAGGAACAATGTCGGGATCCGACTCAACTTGAGTTGGTCGTAGACCACTTCAGGGTAGTCCGATCTTAATTTACGACCAAGCTCGGCATTTCCTCGACTAAGAAATAGTCAAGAAATAATTTAGAGAAAACTAGTATAAAAATTGATTATTTTCTTATGATTTATCTAGTTGTTTATATAGAGCCGTACGCAAAAAAGAAAACGGTGAATGAATAGTCGCCACACAGAACGCGAAAAATTTAGGATACCCTGCCGAGATTTCCTCAGTAAAGTTACAGACTTGTGTATCCATGCAGGTACTTATTCAGTGAATGTACTTTTACGGGTACCCCAAACAGTACATACATCAGTAAAATTACTGAGAATTTTCAAAGTACCCATATTGGGTACCCTGCTAGAGCTTTCTCAGTACATGGGTACCCTGAACTCAGTACTTTCTCTAGGGTGTGAATGAATTATTTGTATACATTCATAGATGTCGTTGTTATTTTTAGTTCTCTATGTTTTTCCAGAATTGTGTACGCCTTTTTTTGTGAAAGTTGTTGACTTAAAATCGAGGAAATCAATTATGTGTATTCTTAATTCTATTATCTGGATATTGTTCTCGTTCACCCTTCCCTCTTTATGTATTGCCGGGTTTTTGTTACTTTTTGTTGTTACTAAGAAAGAGATTTACAAGAAGATAAAAATTTGTCTATACTTATATGCTGGTTCTCACTTTCTACTTTTGAACTATTTATGTTATAATTTTGGTAGATCACTAATTTCAATATGAAATCCTGTCAGCGACATCTAACTAAAGATCATACCAAATCCTTTTACGTTACGATAGCCCTGTAAGAACGGTACGAAGATCCTGTAAGACCGATACGAAGTCCCTGTCAAAATTGTTACGAAGGCCCTGTAAACTTGATAGGAAAGCTCTTTAAAAAATGATACGAAAGCCCTGTCTAAAACGATACGAAAGCCCTGTCGAAAATCGATACGAAAGCCCTGCTTTTTATGATTTATGCATTTTACATTGTTACGAAAGCCCTGCTTCTTACTGGGCTTTCGTAACCAACCGTTACGAATCGTTACCTTCCCCATTAATAATCTTTAAATTTTAATTTGTCAATTGTTTTTTAGAGAAAAAAAAATCCAAGTTGATGAAAATGTCTCTGATAAGAATAATTTGCTGTCAGCTCATGAAGAAATATTCAATAAATAAAATCAATTATAAAAATAAATTATTTGATAATAAAAGTAATTAACTATGATTACTATCGATTATTTCATGAACGATAATAAGATTATATTAAATTAAATATTGATCAACTCGACATGTTTAAATGAAATTTATTATTTTTTTTCTAATTATATTTTAAAGACTACAATCTATTCTCTAAAAACTAAAATGCATAGAAAGAAAATGTTCTTTTTTAAAGAAAAAAAAATCGTGAAATGATTATTATCGATGTAACAACAATAAAGATAAGTCCTATTTTTCTTTTAAAAGACCATTCATGTTTACGATGCTTTTCCTTTTCGTATACATCTAGCATAAATTGATATGTTCCTAATTTAAGTTTTTCATAAGCATCATGTTGAATAACTGTTCCATGTGCCATGATTAGACGATTGAAATTTTTATAACGAATCATCATTTGATCAAAATCATTTTTAATTGAATCAATATTTTTACGAAAAAATAATTTAAATGGTTTTGTAACACAAGCTTGACGATGGCCATCAGCTAACCATAAATAGAACCGAAATAAATGACCTTCTGCTCGAATTGATTCTTGACCTGATTCATAATAATTAAATGCTAAATCAGTTAAGATCAATGTTGATGATGATCGATGATAGAACACAATCTCATCTAAAACATCTACACTATAAAAACAATAAAAATCAATTTCATCAAATGGCCATTCAAACGGATCAGTTGTTGGACAATTCATATTCAATGTTAAGCCATTTGTTGAAAAATAAGCATTAATATGTTTATTCAGTTTTTCATTAGATATAACACCACGTGTTCCAATTAGATATGCATTTGGATATTCTCGAAGAAACTGTAAAGCCCAAAAAGTATGATGTTTATTTGGAATAACAATATATTTAACTTCGCCTAAAATTAAAATTTTAAATTTATTAGAAGAATAAATATATATTAGAATATTATCTTTTATAGAGAATAAAAAATATATCTAATTATATAAAAAAATAACGTTGCTTTTTTTCTATGAGAATTCCCTAAAATCAATCTCAGTTTCTTTACATTCTATAATTCATGTTTAATGAAGCTTAGTCAAACTTATCAATAGTGAGAATTTTAATAAATGTTTCATCGTTTTAGAATAAACAAAAATCTGAAATTTTTTTAAAATTTTTATCATATGGTCTTCAACATTGATAGAAACAAGCTAAGAGAAAATGTTAATCTCTCATTATTATGAATATGGTTCATTCAATCACTATTATATTCGATACTTTATGAAAAAGTTAAATTTTTGTCAAAATCAAATTTTTCTCTTAGATTCATATCTGATTATATATTTCATTGACGGATGATCGATAATAAACTGTTGTTTCATTTCTCCAACAATCACTATATATATGGATGTGAAAAAGTCAGAAAAACTCATAGATACAGAAGGCAAAAAGTTACCCGAAAAATATTTAAGTTTCTTAATATAATTAAACACATACACACACACGCCACATATTCTAGATATAATGGGTATTGATTATATTGTGTCTGCTAATTAATAATATGCCATAAAAAATATCTGTAGTGAAAAACAGTATCTCTAGTCGAAAAGTATGTCAAAGCACCTTCAAGTACTTTAATATAATTTAAACATAGTTGAGTCTACTTGGAATTATTTGTATATATATATATTGACCTAGTTTACACTAATGAAGTATGCTATTTCTCCTAGTAACAATCAATTTCTACTAACTTAGTCAATTATGCATTTGAATTCATGAGTAAAAAAATGTTGAATTCTATTTAGTTTAAACTTTCCTATTACTTGTATAGTTTTAAGATCTATTGTGAAATAATTTATGTTAAATTCATATCGAACAGTACAACTCACCTATTTCTGCTAATAAACTTTTTATTATATTTGTTGGTGGAAATGGTGATATCACAACTAACTTATTGGTTTGTGATAGACGAATTATTGTCATACGACTTGGTAATCGAAAAATGCCATATAGCATTGTAAGTGAACCTTCATAAGTCCACAAATTTTTATCATGATAAATCAAAGTAGTAGCCGTAGATCTGAATGAATCAACCATTTCTTTTTGTAAAATAATCTAGAAAAAGGCTATTTTTCATAGGTGAAAGCAAGCAAAATAATATTTATTTATTAATTTAAACGTGTACAACAATTATATTGATCGTCAATAAAATGTGAGAGAAAATTGTTTTTTTCGTAGTAGATAGATAATCATTACCAATAAGTTTCAATAGCTGTATGTTTTATTCAATCAAATATTGAAAATGAAATACTAAAGATTCTTGTGAATTTTTCATCAGTAAACAGTTCAATGTCAAATATAGAATATTACCATTGATAACTATAGAAAAAAAAAACTCAGACTAAACGATTCCTTGCTATCTTTCCTGAGACAATTAGAAATTGACAATATTTAACACATACTAGTTTAGTCGAATACATATCATTCACCTATTTAATCTAATTATCTCACTGATTGCGAAACTTTCTGGATTAACATATGATTTCATAACAATACCTAAATCTTGAAAACTTTTATTCCTTAGTATAATTTTTTTCACGTGACCCTAACACTAGCCATTATAAAGCGTTATTAAGAGGCATTCTCATTTTAATAGGAAAGAATATTTTACTATGTCCAAATAAAAGAAAAACTATTGTTACTATTTCTTGTTAATAAGATAAGGAATATTGCTCTGATATGATTATTGTCTTAATTCATCGATATGACCTTGCACAACATCTTACTCAAATGTTCAATATAATAACGTAGTCATGGCCGACCTATGGATTGAACTTTTGAACAAGATAATACTAAAGTTCATATTTATCAATTAAGACCATAATTATGTCAGAACAATATTTCTTATCTCATTGACAACAAAAATTGATCATAAAATAGGTTCACATTTTGAATGTTTGATTATTTTATACTTAAAGAAATTTTCTATTTTTATCAATGAAAAGAAAGATAACATCGAAATATATTCTTATTAAACCATAAAAACATTCAATCAATTTATTAGACAGAAAATTATTTTATAAAATGTTTTATTTTCAATTACTCATTAAAAACATCTATTAAAGAATACTCGATATTATTTAGATTGATAAAAAACTAAATTATTTGAAAAAAAACCAATGTCTGAATCTACAAATATTAAACAAGATATGATTAAAAATTTTTTTTTTTAAATCTATCACTTCAAACTAAAGAAAAAATAGTGATATGTCGAGATTATTAAGTATATGACGTTGTCTAGACTAGAAAAATAGTGTATCATTAAGCAACATGCATCTAGATCTGTTAGTTAATGCACCAATAAAAAGTTAGATTGTGCCACTATAATGTAGTCGAAATGCATCAATACAAAGCACTTTTGCAAAACGGAAATATTTCCTTTCTGTTTTTAACCAATTAAAGAGGAATCAAAACTAATAGATATTCAATAATGAAATCTTTATCTGATTACAGAACTTATCAATGCTGAAGTTGCTTTAGTTTTGTAATTCAAGCAAAAATTTAAAATTTCATTGACTTACTCGAACAGATATTGTGCATCTCACTGTTAAATTCTTTCATCTCAAATCATATTTACAAAGATTAATGTTATTAAATTTTATTTTATTTTTTATCTTTTGCATTTATGTTAAACACTGAAAATATAGTTTGAAGAAATATATTTTTAATTTTATTCATATAACTATTTCAATCATCATAGAGGACAACACATTTTAGTCATCTAATAATTTTAATTAAAAAAACATGGGTATTATAGAAAAAATTGCATTGAACTTGGCAAAAAGTATTCAATTAGCCATATTCACAATTCACTTATTGGTCACGATTTCAGCTATGTCGTGACCAACACACAATCATTCATTTCTTTTCCTCTTTTCGATTGCTAAGAGGAAAAGAAATTATTGAATCGGTGTTGGCCACAATATAGCTGAAATCATGATCAACAAGCGAATTGTGAATATGGCTCATTAAAGCTTCTCTTACTATCGATATACTCGTCGTTTCTATATTAAATATCATTTTGTGGCACTCACATATATTTTCGAAGATAATAGTCAACGGTGTGGGTGTGGATGTGAATGTGGGTGTGGATGTGGTGTGGGTGTGGGTGTGGGGTGGATGAGGGTGTAGGTGTGGGCGGAGGTGTGGGTGTGGGCGGGAGTGTGGAGGTGTGGGTGTGGCTATTGGTTTCTCATCATCCATACTTCACACCAACACCCACCCACCAACACCCACACCCACACCCACACACCCACACCCACACCATTTATCCAAAGGGGATGCTGAGAAGGCGTAACCTTCGAAGTTCACGAGTTTTCAAAGAGAAATCTGCGATGTTCTCTCCAACAAAAAAATTCTAAATTTAAAACACTGAGAAGAGACTAATCCATTGAGAGGTAGTCGGTGAAAAACAATGGGAAGAACGTTCTTAGTCTAAGACCAAGTGAAAAACGATATAGCTTAGAAGCTTATCCATTCAGTATTCGAAGAAGTTATCCTAGAACATTGGTACTGCGATAAGAATAATATCTATCTCTAGTCTAGCTATCAACAATGTGGTCGTGTTAATCCTTATATTTGGGAAATTGTATCGATTATTTTGCCAGGCACAAACAATATTATCATAGCACCTCTTTGCGATTTAACCGATAATTGCACTAATCAAACTGCGGACACCTACTTGGCAACACCATCGGATGAAAATGATCCTGATTCTTACTGTCCACAAGAATGTTCAATAACAGATTTTCTTTTTAAAAAATCTTCACTATTAACACCACTCGAATGGTAAATGTCTGGCATAAAAAAATTTGTTGAAAATTCTTCGATTCCATTGCCATCCGATTGGTCAACTACATGGCGTGAACGAATTCATGAGAATTATCTTGCTATTAGTGTTGTACGCGAAACAGCTATTATTGAAAATAATACACAATCAACACAAATGAGTCTAGTTGATGTTCTATCAAATATCGGAGGTTAAACTGGTCTATGGTTTGGAATTAGTCTTCTCTCAATCATGGAACTTATCGAAATGATTTATCGACTTCTTCGAAATGAATATCAAGTAATTCGATCAAAAAGAGAAAGAAACCAACAAATTATGACACAATAAACGTTATATTAAACATTCTTTATGAAAGAACTTATTGATATGTTTCACTCTAATAAAGGGATCGATATATAAACGCTGTTCAGATAGAAGTTATCTGCTCCTCATATAGCTTCATAGTTCAGTGACTTCAGAAATGGTCTGGAAAATTAGTACTCCGTCATGTGTTCGGTCTTCTGTTGAAGTATATATTTCCTTTTATTTGTTAATCGAAAGTTGAACGACGTAAACAGTCTAGCCAAATCATGTTCGAGGTTCTCCTTTTGTCTTCTCAATATCTTTTATCAAGACTCTACGTGAAGAACTTTGTAAAATAATTCGACAACTTTCAATTAGGTAAAAAAACATTTTGATACATTTGCATTTTCAAGACTTTTTCGAATGAGAAAAATATCGTGTAATTCAAAGTAGATTCAGTTGCATTTCATAAAATACTTCACTCAGAGATGATGAATATGAAAGTAGTGTGAATCAATCATTCTCACTAATCAGACACTTTGAAACAAAAGTCAAAAAGATAAAATTGATTAGTTGATTTGAACCTTAGTGCAGTTCTTAATCATCTACACATGATAACATTTGAATGAAATTCGTGGAATATTTACAGAAAACTCTCAACAATCTTGTTTTCGCACAAATTACACTATCGATATAAAATCAATAAGGACAAAAATGTAAAAACCAATAACCATTCATTTTTTTTATTCGGATTATTCTTAATCCCTCAGAAACTTCTGTCAATAGGCCACTGAAATGAAACATAAAATGAAGTTGTGTAAATTGAACATGAGAGAACTGCAACTGCGATTTGTATTCGTCAAGTCACACCACTCAAAAGTACTCGAAATGATAGTGGTGACAATTGTCGTAGGCGGTGAAGTTGGAACAGCACATCCATAATATCGTTAAATTTCGAGAACATCGATTGGACTCAGATCAACACGTTGTCTGATGTTTGCACTGGTGTTGATAGTTGGATCAATGGTTGCGGCAGTGCTGATACTGAATGCAATCATTCAAATATGAGTCAGTTCATTTTGGTCTGATCACTATCTCATGCTGTAATGTCTCTTATGTTTCACTCTGTATTGTTACGGCATCGATTCTGTTTTTTTTTATCGTTGTACTTATCTTTTGATTAAAAATCTATAGTTTTATTGTGATATATTTCTTTTTGTTCTGTATTAAACATATAGAAGTAAGAAGAGAGAAATAGCAACATGAAACAAACCGATAACGAAGACCATCATCAGATTATTAGCTCCTGTATTCAATTCTAAACCGAACAGAATATTCTATCGTTGCACAAAAGCTATGAAAAAAAATAAGCTGATTCCATGATTGTGCGTATAGCCATTGGTTATAGTCAGCGACATCACCATTTAAGATCGAATGGATGTGGGTGTGCATGTTCTATTCATTAACACTTACATCCACACCCACCCACTACTGGTTGTAAGACAAAAATAATTTACATAAGCATCTAAATTACTAAGTATTATTGTTGTTTTTCTTTGAAACTATTGGCACAAGTGATTATGACTCTATTTATCTATGCTTCATGGAAGAAGGGAATGATGATGATAATGAAAAAAAGACAATCCGATGTCATATTACTTATTCATATGCTTACAAATATTGCATACTGAAATGAATTCTTTCTGTTTTTTACTATAATTTTGTTCAATCTAATTTTAACTAATTTGTAACTCCAAAAGCCTATCAAAAAATACTCACGTATTTTTCAGCTTGAAAATATCTGATTGGGGCCAGAAGCAGTTAGGTAGAATCAGAATGTTTTGATCTTTTCGAATATACAGTAACTCCTACAATAATTCATCCAGGTTTATTTTCAATTTTTTTTTCACTGTCATAACCGCTAAAACCTTCCATAATAAAAGATCCCAGAACTTCTATTATTTTC